AGCAAGCTCCTCCTCTGCCCTAGTCGTTATCACTGCCTTCTCAGCCTCAGATGCCGCTGTGTACACCTCATCCTTCTCTAGTCTCTTCTTTAGCTGATACTTTGCTTGGCGGTCAGCATCATTAGCCTGCTTTAGAGCCTGTTCCTCGTTATCAAGTGCAGCGATGCGACTTCATTGGAGCTTTGCGCGGTGGCTTTCGCTGAGGGGTCCTTTAAACTGGACTTTGGTGTGGGTACGTCGGCCTCGTTTAGTTCCAGACTGACCGCGGGCAGCAAGTGTGGCTTGAATCTCATGCGCTAGAGAGAGTGCGCCCTACTCAATTGTCAGCTTTGTCTGTGATAAAGAAGCGTGATAAATACCTCAGTAAGTTCGATCCACTCATTAGGCTTGAAATGCGGCGGAATCTCAGGCTGATCAGGCTCTAGGTCACCTAGCACCTCTTCTTGCTTGATGTCCTCAGGCTCATCATACTCTAGGTTGCCCAGCACCTCTTCTTGCTTGATATACTCAGGCTCATCATACTCTAGGTTGCCCAGCACCTCTTCTTGCTTGATATACTCAGGCTGGACGTCCCCCATTGTTTCAAATGTGTGACAAGGTGGCGGCGGTGGTTGCAGCAGTGGTTGCAGCAGTGGTGTAGTAAAGGAGCTGTGATAAAGGTATGTGATAGCGCAGTTGCAGCAACAGCAGCAGCGGTTGTGGTGGTGGTGGTAAGTAGTAGTGTGGGTAGTAGTATATCGAAGGTGGCACTGGCAGCTAGTCGAATTGGAAGCTGGCCTGTGCTCAAGCTCGCCGAATTTTCACTAGCGCGACTTTTCACTAGCGCCACAGCAAGGCTCTACACACTGCAACGCCCATATCAACACTCAGAATTGCTGCAAAGAGATTGTTTTGGTGCCGTTGAAAAGCTGCGGCTCTGTTCTCCATTCTGGTGAATTATCACAATTTATTATCACAGATCTGACTGTGCGCCTCAGCTACCAGTCTTCCGCGCTAGCTTTAGGCAGCTGCGCGGCGCTAGTTGCTCCTCTGCGCTTGGGCCACCTGCCGATTCACCGTCAATACAACTTTCCTGACTAAGTACCTCTCTACTACTACACCACCACTGCCGCCACCAGTAATTATCACGCACAACTATCACAGCAGCACCATCACACACCGCTGCCACCACTGTCACTGCTGCCACCACTGCCACCACTGCCACCGCTGCCGCCACTGCCACCGCTGCCGCCAC